TGAGGAGGTGACACCTGCTAGCAAGCACACTCCACCAGAAAGTATTCCACCTCCACCACCCCTACAGTCACAACCGAAGTCATCAGAGCAGGAGACTGATCTTCCACAAGAGAGCATCCCATCCGAGTCTGAAACTAACCCAGGTTCATCTAACAGTATTCTCACTCCCCCTCAGAGTATTCCCCCTCCGCCTCCCACAGAGATTCACCACCAACCTCAGGTTGTGCCTACGAACATTGATGTTCCAGCAACCCAGGAGGCTTCCCCTTCACCGCCATCTGAAGCCCCCATCCCACCAGCTCTAGAAAACTCTCCTTCACCAGAAAAGGCCCAAGAACCTGATCCTTCTCCACCTGTAAACATTCCTTTGCCTCCACCCTTGCCTGTGCAGGGTCTTGCCAGCATCAAGCCACAGCCTTGTCCTGCAAGCACAGAAAAACAAACCCCTGAGGTGACCTCTGCCCCTGTTGTACAGGAGGGATCCACTCCCATTGTTACCCCCTCCCTTCTGCAGATGGTCAAGCTGCGGTCAGTCAATAGCAGCCCTGAGCCTCCTAAAGCTCAGGAGCCACCAGAGGCTGAGGTCACGATGAGGGAGCAGCAGCCCAGCAATCCAGTCCCAACTTCATCTGCCAGTGGTGAGGCTCCTCAGAAGCCCATCAGAAGGTCTCTGATCCTCCTCTCTCCCGGACCCTTCTCTCCACCATCCACCTCTCCGCCATCCACCTCTCCACCTGCTATAGTTACCGCACTGCCAGCTCTGCCCAAGTCCCAGTCCATTTTGGTTCCAACTACTTCTTCTTCCGCAGTCATCTCCCCTACAAAAAAGTCTCCTCCTGCCATGACGGCTTCTCCCTCCATGAACCTACAGGAGGCCATCCGTCTGAGGACAGCAGCCAGATCCAAAGAAGGCCCTGCATCTCGCCTCAGCTTGCACTCACCAACATCACCAGTAGACCTCCGTAAGTCCCCATCCCCCTCCAGCACAGCAAGCTTTATCTTTGCCAAGAGCACCAAGAGGGTGGTGATTGATACCAAGCAGGCACCAGAGACCATGGCGACCATACAGAAGAAGGTGGAGGTTTCCTCCCCAACAAAGGTGGCGAGTGAGGCAGAGTGGGCGAAGAAGGGCATCAAGGTGCCACCACCTGTTGCAAAGAAACCCAAAACGAAGGGCAAAGAGATTGAGACCAGTGAAGGGACGGCGCAGACTGCAGGACAGGAAGCACTGGAAGAGAGTATCAAGGGTAAGAGAGATTTTTTTTTATAAACCAGAAATAAAACTCATCAGAATTAGACTGGACAAGAATCCATACAACCACGCTGTGAGGCTGTACTTTGGCACAGCATTTCTTTGAGCTAAATACTAATGTTGAATGCATGTTGACATGCTCAAAATAGCCATGCCATCATGCTGGTATTTATGTCACATTCACGTCATATAATTTTGACCATAATTATGAGCAACCAAGTCAGAAAAACAGTTCACGTCAGCTCCCAAATTGTAATTTCGGCTTGGGGGTCCTCCACCAGGAAGTTTTGAGCCGCAAATGCTGAATGTACTGCATAAGGGTGAATCACCAAGTTGTGCTTTTTCTGCATCAATTTATCTTAATGCCCTTAATTTTGTCAAAATAAAAGCCCTCTGCTACTTTAATGTTTTTATTCAGGAGGGCAAATGCAGGTAACGGGAGGTTTTCCGGTTCTTTCTGCATGACAGCAGCTTTAGCAGGATTAATGTTTATCATGCTCACCATCTTAGCTTAGTTTGTTCGCATGCTAACATTGGCTAATCAGCACTAAAAGTACTCACTATGTAGAATGGCCCATTTCTGATTATTGATACAGAATATAAATAAACTAAGTTACTAGTTGTTCAAGCTTTGAAATAAATGCAGTAAAGTAGAAAAGTATGTAGAGGAGTAGAGAAGTTGTGCTTAAGTACAATACTTAAGTAAATGTACTTAGTTACATTCCACCACTGAGTATTGGACAAATTGAAAAGAGATTAAAGTGATAACATTTCATTCTGATGGGGATGTGAATGTGCACATTTCCATTGCAATCCATCAAAAAGTGTGTTATTTCATTCTGAACCAACCAAACCACGCGGCCATCTCTACAGCCATGCCACTAGCATGTCTAAAAATTGAATCAGCTTTATTGTACGGCTCCTTTGTGCTATAATAAACTAACTCTGCTTGAATTCTCCAACTTTAGATGCTGCGGAAAAAACAAATGGGACAGCAGGTACTGTTGAAGGAGGGACGCCATCAGCATGATTGTAAAGACTGAAGGAGACCTGAGAAGGACTTACCTATAACACTGAAATTGCTGACAGTTGGTCTTTGTGTGTGAGAGACAAGAAACTGGATTTTGGAAAGACGAGATGCTTATTTCAAAGATTGCATTTGGAAAAGTTGTGGATTTTAAGAAAATCCTATGACTTTGATGTTAATGGTGTGGGTCTTAAATTTCTCAAGTACTCATTTTGGAGTTTTGTAAGCTGAATTCAGTGTATTTTCTTTTGCCTGTGGGTCTTCTGAGCTTTACCGTTGCTAGAGATGGGAGTATATTGCCCTCTAGTGTCAAACATTGATTGTACCACTTTTGTCCTGCTGAATCAGAGCTTTAGTCAGTACTTGTATCAATGGGACTTTTGGGCACTCATCTGTAAATATAGCAAGATTTTGTACATTTAACACATCCAGGAGTGATGGATCTGTGCTACAGAGTTCTGTATTTTCTCCAAAAACGTTTCCACACCAATTATATTTGTTAAAAAATGTTAATTATCTTAAGTTATTTTTCCTGTTTCCATGTTCAGAGGAGGGTCTCTACAGGCACAATGTCTTCTTTGCAGTGTTTTGTTACACCCTAATATCATTTAAATCAAATGTGTATGTATAGCTCTTAATCATTCCAAATTGATGTCCTTCTCAGAAATCCCACGTCCTTTTTATTTTGTATGATTTAAATCTCTTTATGTGTGCGACCATTAATGTCACAGAGGCAGTGAGCAGAAATGTAAAGCAATAGAGAGAGTTGTTATTTTGGTGCACATTTTCTGCTGCTTTTAGTTAATGAGAATGGATTAATGGCTCAGAACAGTGGGATATATCTGTGTTGAACTATAATATATTTCAAGCTGGTTTCAGACACTGTAATGTAATAAATCATTTATAATGGAAAAATAAAGATTTATGGACAGATCAAAGCCACACCGACTGAGGACATCTTTATAATTTTGCTGTTAAGTCTTATACTTGCTGTTTCATTTTCTTATTTCAGGCTCCTTTTGTTGAGTCTCAAGTTTGTATGATACAAATACAATATATTTTAAGATATGACACTCCCCATGTTTTTGACATTTGTAATTACCAGTAGTAATAATATTGACATGGCTTAATTCTACAGCAATCAGCCACAACGTTAAAACTACTGACAGGTGAAGTGGATAACACTGATCTTCTTGTTACAATGCAATGATCTGCTGGGAATCCTTGGGTCCTGACATTCATGTGGATGCCACTTGACCTGCACCACCCACCCAAACACTGTTGCAGACCAGTTGTCTCCACCATCTATCTATCCACCAGCTCTGCCCAAATCCGAGTCTGTTTTGTTTCCACCTGCATCTTCTTCCACAGTCGTCTCCCCTACAAAAAAGTCTCCTTCCATGAACCTACAGGAGGCCATCCGCCTGAGGACAGCACCCACCCAAACAAAATTGCAGACCAGGTACACCTTCTCGTGGCAATAGCACTCTCCGATGGCAGTGACATGCCACACTGCAAAAACTGTTCAGGACTAGCCTGAGGAAAGTGACAAAGACCTCAAAGTGTCGACCTGGCCTCCAAATCCCCCAGATCCCAATCCAACCAAGCAACCACGGGACGTGCCTGGTATCTCAGAGCAAAGTCTGATCCACGGTGGGGCCTCCTTGGATCGTACTTGGCTTTGACCTGTTGAGGCATAGACATAGGACCTCTGTGGTTTTCCTGTTATGTCTGGCACCAGCGCCCAGTTATACAAAAAATGTAATTGGAAGTCCCATGTTTTGCTGTCCAGGATCAGCTAAACCATTTTACTTTTGTGCCAGTTTTTAAAAGCAACATTAGATTGGATCACCTTGATCCACATACAAAGTTATCCAGATTTGGTAATCTGGAAAAGTTTAGAGCTAAAGGTAGGATGTCTGCCAACAAACACACTGCAATTTGCAGTTATGGCAATAGGTGCCGCCAAAGACAACATAACAGAGATCTTTGAGATTATAACTTTAAATCATTTTGTTTGATTTTGACAGCTATTTGTGGGATATTTTCTGGGGACAGCATCTTTTTGTTTACTGTACTGAAAGGCACAATAGGTAGCCTAATGTCTACTTTATTTACTCTATCACAGCAACTGTTAAACAAATCTAGTGCAAAGTATTTTGCCAATTTAAAAGTTTTATAACATTCTGTTCCTGAAATCCATTCTGAATCCAACCATTGGCTAGGATTAAGATAATCCTTTTTTTGGATAAAAGGTATCCAAATCCTACTAAAGAGTTTTGAACACATACTTAAGGTTTGATCCAGATCAAACCCACACTCGATTAAGTGATCCAATCCAATTTCAGAATCCCTTTTTTTCTTTTGAACAACCCATTGTCAGGATTTCTATCCGACAGCCAAACTCCAGTCAGATTACTTCTGAACAACTGGGCTCTGGGCGTTGGTGGTGGATTCTTTGAGTCCTGTGGGTTGCAAGATGCTCTATTGGATTGGGATGCTATTTGGGAGTGTCATTGTACTTGGTCTGTAAACTGTTTGGGTGAGTGGAACATCCATGGCACCAAAGGAAGTAAATGTTATTCACTTCACCTGTTAGTGGTTTTAGTGTTGTGGCTGATTGTTATATGTCAGCTGTTGGAATTCATAATGTTTAAGATGCCTAAAATTTTTAATTGACTTATTTTGGTTTCAAGTCATGACGAAAGAGAGTCCATCAACTGCATTTTCATGTTTTTATTGAAACAAGTCAGAATATTCTTCTGTAATGGAGAGTTACAACAGTCTGAGCAGAGCACTGATCGACTCATTGAGCTAATGCTACCTCCATGTGAAATACCATGTCACCTCACCATCCTCTACTAAATCTGCTAAACCCTCATCATCCTTCCACTCCACCTCAGCAGCCTTCATCCTGTCATCCTCTTCACCTCTGCCTCTACGCTTCCCATTTTCCTCCTCCCCTCCAGGTACCAGCAGCTGTAACTCTCTTTGTGGGCCGACTTGTGTTGGTAACATTTGCTCCACCTGCACCCAGTGACGCAACACTTCAGCTTCCTTCTGATTCAGATGGATCTCATCCTCTCTTCCTTCAGATCCCTCCTCCTCTTCACCTACATACCCTGACCCATCTTCTTCGAACTCATTTGAAACCTTCACTACAGACTCTTTCTCATCCTGCTCCACTAACTCATCAAAATCAGGCTCTGGTATCACTCCAAAGATTGCTCCACTTTCCTCTTCATCTTCATCTTCTTCAAACGCCTCTTCCTCCTCATCTGCATAGTCCTCTTCATCATTATACTGTACTACATCCTCACTCTCCCGCAGGTTCTCATCACTGTGCAGCTCATCGATGTAATGATAAATGGTGGCCTCGCCTTGGCTGCTCATGCTGACTGGTAGAAAGCTGTCTTCTGCTGCATACGGCTGATCAGAGACCAACAGCGACCCACTGCTGACAGAGCCTTGAAGTAAAGTCAGAGATGGAGCCATTTTTAATCATCAGAAGAAAATGTATGATCACTATGGTAGTTATAAGAGAACAGTCAGCTGGAGACACTTGTGCAACTGAAACAACCACAACAACCCAGTCTCTCTGAGTAGGAATGGATTATTTGAGACTAAACATTTTTTAAAAACACTGCCACATACCTTCCATCATGGCCCTCTGGTTTTTAGAGGTCACACACTGTGAGTCACAGCATTCACATATGGAGTCGTCCCCAGTAAGGGCTGTCCACCTGTAATGACAAATGGACAAATATGCTAAATCCAGAAAAGTCAACTATATACCTAGAATGGAAATTTAATTTGTAGCGTCAACTCTCACCTGTTCCCTCTGTAGGTGCATGATTTGTGAGCAGGACCTGGGTCCTCAGATGTGACGAATAATCTGCAGTGAATACTGACCTAAAAAATGGAAACAGCAGCTAAACACATAGTGGTTGAAAGTGTTTACACTGATGGAGGAGATTAAAAAAAAAACCCTCTGTATTTAAAAGCGGAGCATTTAATTTTGGGAAAATCTCCAGCTACTCTTTGTCAAGATTAAAAATATCTATTCAGAATCTTGAGAACCTCAGCACTGACACAGATAACCAAAGGATGGAAACAAAACTAACCCCCAGATCTAATAAAATGTAAAATTCATGGAGAAAGTGACTGATCCGGTGACTGGACTGGAGATTGTAACTATACTGTCATTTTATTTGATGTATAAACATGTGTACAGTGTATGAGCTGTTAGAACTTATTATCTTCTATTATTATATATTATTTTATTAAATGCCCAGTGTACCATCACACAGTTTCTCTGCTTTCTTCTGCAAATGAATGTATACCTAATTAGACAATGCCTCATTTGCATGTTTAAGCTTTTATTTATTGTGTTTGTTAAAAAAAAAAAAAATAAATAAATTATCAACTGGGGAACTTTCATAGTGGTATACTAGTTAACTTAACCCGCAGCTCAAGTTATACCCCTTGCTCACCTCTGTGTCAGGGTCAGAGGTGAACTGGAAAGCCTTTAGGGAGAATCTCAGGGTCTTGTCTGTTTGAGAGATGAACTGGGAGGCCCCTGGGTCCCTCTTGCTGTCCAGCATGCAGCTATGGGTGACAACAATATCACGCCAGTCTCAATTTAATCACAAATCAGGACACCAGGGGTAAACCAAAAGACTGTAAGGGCATTACTGTGCAAAACACTCACCCAAAATTGTCAATGATGCTGTATTTGAGAGATGATTTAAAGCCACTGGATGGCGTAGCATAGCAGGTATTGATGTATAGTTTTCCACCAGTTGGGAGATGAGGAGCAAAGACCTGGAAATTAATAGTCTTTCCAAGCTGGTACACCTGGGACTGGGCTGGTGTGCTCCATGAATCTACGAGGTTATTAACATAAATCACAACAATTGAAACCACTAAACAGACATAATCTTTTAAAATATATTTGCACTGAAAACCGAAGCAGCTCTTAATCTCTTTCATCCAAAGTCCTGTAGACATACCGTCCATCAGCTCCATCTGAAAGTCATTTGGACTTCCTTTCAGCCTTTTACGCACAACAGCAGTTTCCCAGGTGGGCTGCACAGTCAGTTGGTACACGTGATTATTCCTGGACAGGTATTGGAGTTTGTAAATAAATAGTCTTTCACACACATGATGCTGAAAATGACCGAGAGACAAGTCTAACCTTGGATAACGACATTCAATGTCGACATTGATCCTGTGCGCTCTGCTTGGGAAACGCTTTGGCGACGGCTCATAATGGAGCACGAATTTGTAGAGCAGATAGCCGCGGGGCGCCTGTCAGGAGGGGTCAGAGGTTGTGATTTTAAGATTATGCAGGTAGAGTCTGGAAACAAATGACACTAGTCTTACCCCACGCACGACATCGCACGCTGTCAGAGGATACATGAAAAGCAGGTCCCCGTATGGCCTGAGGACCCCGTTGCTTTTGCAGGAGCTGCCTAATTTCAGCTCCTCTGCATCTGCGCCCAGACCGTAGAAAGCTGGTTTGACCCGCACCACAAAGTCAGACGTGGAGCAGGTGACAGAAACGTCTTGGAGGTAAGCAAAGTCCGACTGGATCTTTGTCTCATGGTCCCCTGGGCGCAGGGATCGGGCTCCGAGGTGAGACAATGGAGAAATGCTGGCATGTAACCTCTGAGAGGATTTTCTGTCACCTGTCGGAGACTGTTTGATTGGTTTGGATTTTGGCGTTCCCAGTTTGAAAACCTTTTTCCGTCTGCTAAATGGAGAGTCATAAGTGTCCACTGCACAGCTGAGGAGGCCAAGTGATAAAACACTCCACAAAATATAGAGATGCCACTTTGTTTTCATCGCAACAGACTGCTGTCCGTCTTCCTTTCCTTTTCTATCTGCGCGTAAAACCAGCGCTCAGCCACGGCTGGAGGTAATTAGTGGCAATGATGACTAGGCATGGATGGATTGCTGGAGAAAATGCGAAGTCATGCTTCCTTTGGTTGGTTTTTATTTTATAAAGGAAGCAGTGGCATTATCTTTGGCTGAGCATTTCTTCGTTTCATCATTTTCTTGATTCCAGTCACAATATCTTTATACAATCACTGTAGCTGGAAAGTTTTTGGAAACAGGCTGACTTGTGGAGAAATGACTGAAATGATTAAGCAGTAAAAATCTGTTTCACTGTTGTTTTTGAAGTTTTATTTCTTCTAACTGATTTAATACAAAATAATCTTTCTGTGTGGACAGGAAAAGTGCACACACACTAAGACTTTACTTTTACTCTACTATGGCTTTTTTTTAATATCATTATTATTATTATTATTATTTAACTTTTTATGAGACAGGCTTCTCTACTATCACTTTTGTATGACAAAATATGCCATTCCTTTGTAAAGATATACTACACTATGACTAAAACCCCCCAAAACGTATTGACTTAAAAGCTTATTAAAGATATACTACGACTTTTTCCACATTTTCGACTTTTTCTTGTTATACTATGACTTTTAAAAACACATGTAAAACTATGACTTTTATGACATTTTTTACTTTTTATGACAAACTACACTATACTTATTTATAACATTCTATACCATGACTTTTTTATGGCATACTATACTATGACTTTTTTATGGCATACTATACTATGATTTTTTTTATAACATACTATACTATCACTTTTTCATGGCAAACCATACTATGATTTTTTTTATCACACATTATACTATCACTTTTTTATGACGTACTATACTATGACTTTTTATGACATACTATACTATGACTTTAATAGGATACTATACTATGCTTTTTTTGTGACATACTATACTATGACTTTTTTAACACAGCCTGTACTATGACTTTTTTTATGGCATACTATACTATGACTTTTTTATGGCATACTATACTATGACTTTTTTTTTTAACACAACCTGTAATATGACTTTTTTATCACATACTGTACTATGACTTTTTTTAACACAGCCTGTACTATGACTTTTTTTATGGCATACTATACTATGACTTTTTTATGGCATACTATACTATGACTTTTTTTAACACAACCTGTAATATGACTTTTTTATCACATACTGTACTATGACTTTTTTTTTAACACAACCTGTAATATGACTTTTTTATCACATACTGTACTATGACTTTTTTTTAACATAGCCTGTACTATGACTTTTTTTATGGCATACTATACTATGACTTTTTTATGGCATATTATACTATGACTTTTTTTAACACAGCCTGTACTATGACTTTTTTTATGGCATACTATACTATGACTTTTTTATGGCATACTATTCTATGACTTTTTCATGGCATACGGTACTATGATTTTTTTATGACATACTATACTATGACTTTTTTTATCACATACTATACTATGACTTTTTTATGGCATACTATACTATGACTTTTTTATCACATACTATACTATGACTTTTTCATGGCATGCCGTACTATGACTTTTTTATCACATACTATACTATGACTTTTTTGTGACATACTTTTCTCTGACTTTTTTTAATCACATACTATACTGTAACTTTTTTATCACATACTGTACTATGACTTTTTCATGGCATACTATACTATGACTTTTTTATGGCATACTATACTATGATTTTTTTAATCACATACTATACAATGACTTTTTTATCACATACTATGCTATGACTTTTTATATCACATACTATACTATGACTTTTTTTATCACATACTATACTATGACTTTTTTATGGCATACTATACTATGACTTTTTATATCACATACTTTGCTATGACTTTTTTTTTTATCACATACTATACTATGACTTTTTTATGACCTACTATACTATGACTTTTGTATGGCATACTTTTCTCTGACTTTTTTAATCACATACTATACTATGACTTTTTTATCACATACTATACTATGACTTTTTTATGACCTACTATACTATAACTTTTTTATGGCATACTTTTCTCTGACTTTTTTTAATCACATACTATACTATAACTTTTTTATGGCATACTTTTCTCTGACTTTTTTTAATCACATACTATACTATAACTTTTTTATGGCATACTTTTCTCTGACTTTTTTTAATCACATACTATACTATAACTTTTTTATGGCATACTTTTCTCTGACTTTTTTAATCACATACTATACTATGACTTTTTTATCACATACTATACTATGATTTTTTTCATCACATACTATACTATGACTTTTTTTTATCACATATTATGGCATGACTTTTTTTATCACATACTATACATGACTTTTTTAATCACATACTATACTATGACTTTTTTATGGCATACGGTACTATGATTTTTTTATGACATACTATACTATGACTTTTTTATCACATACTATACTATGCTTTTTTTGTGACATACTATACTGTGACTTTTTTATCACATACTATACTATGACTTTTTTATCACATACTATACTATGACTTTTTTATGGCATACTATACTATGACTTTTTTTTATCACATACTATACTATGACTTTCTTTTTTATCACATACTATACATTACTTTTTAATCACATACTATACTATGACTTTTTATATCACATACTATGCTATAACCTTTTTTATCACATACTATACGATGACTTTTTTATGGCATACTTTTCTCTGACTTTTTTAATCACATACTATACTATGACTTTTTTTTTATCACATACTATACTATGACTTTTTTATCACATACTATACTATGCTTTTTTGTGACATACTATACTGTGACTTTTTATCACATACTATATATGACTTTTTCATCACATACTATACCATGACTCTTTTTTATCACATACTATACTATGACTTTTTTATGGCATACTATACTATGACTTTTTTATCACATACTATGCTATGACTTTTTTTCATCACATACTATACTATGACTTTTTTATGACCTACTATACTATGACTTTTTTATGGCATACTTTTCTCTGACTTTTTTAATCACATACTATACTATGACTTTTTTTTAATCACATACTATACTATGCCTTTTTTATGACCTACTATACTATGACTTTTTATGGCATACTTTTCTCTGACTTTTTTATCACATACTATACTATAACTTTTTTATGGCATACTTTTCTCTGACTTTTTTAATCACATACTATACTATGACTTTTTTTTTTATCACATACTATACTATGATTTTTTTCATCACATTCTATACTATGACTTTTTTATCACATACTATGGCATGACTTTTTTTTATCACATACTATACATGACTTTTTTAATCACATACTATACTATGACTTTTTTATCACATACTATACTATGCTTTTTTGTGACATACTATACTGTGACTTTTTATCACATACTATATATGACTTTTTCATCACATACTATACCATGACTTTTTTTATCACATACTATACTATGACTTTTTTATGACCTACTATACTATGACTTTTTTATGGCATACTTTTCTCTGACTTTTTTAATCACATACTATACTATGACTTTTTTTTATCACATACTATACTATGACTTTTTTTTAATCACATACTATACTATGACTTTTTTTATCACATACTATACTATGACTTTTTTATCACATACTATACTATAACTTTTTTAATCACATACTATACTATGACTTTTTTTAATCACATACTATACTATGACTTTTTTATGACCTACTATACTATGACTTTTTTATGGCATACTTTTCTCTGACTTTTTTAATCACATACTATACTATGACTTTTTTTTATCACATACTATACTATGACTTTTTTTTAATCACATACTATACTATGACTTTTTTTATCACATACTATACTATGACTTTTTTATCACATACTATACTATAACTTTTTTAATCACATACTATACTATGACTTTTTTTAATCACATACTATACTATGCCTTTTTTATGACCTACTATGCTATGACTTTTTTATGGCATACTTTTCTCTGACTTTTTTAATCACATACTATACTATGACTTTTTTTAATCACATACTATACTATGCCTTTTTTATGACCTACTATGCTATGACTTTTTTATGGCATACTTTTCTCTGACTTTTTTAATCACATACTATATTATGACTTTTTTATGACCTACTACACTATAACTTTTTATGGCATACTTTTCTCTGACTTTTTTAATCACATACTATACTATGACTTTTTTTAATCACATACTATACTATGACTTTTTTATGGCATACTTTTCTCTGACTTTTTTAATCTCATACTATACTATGACTTTTTTATCATATACTGTACTATACTATGATTTTTTTCATCACATACTATACTATGACTTTTTTTATCACATACTATGACATGACTTTTTTTTATCACATACTATACATGACATTTTTAATCACATACTATATTATGACTTTTTTAATCACATACTATACCATGACTTTTTTATGGCATACTACCGTAACCACCTATACATTAAATTACACTTTCTACAAATAACCATTGATATTTAAAAATAAACCGCTAACATCCTACCTGTGGGCGACACCACCCTGCCTACCTCAGAAGACTACAAGCACTCGTTACACAAAATCTCACACTTTTCTTTCATCAACCAACCACACTCTTTCACTCATATTTAAGACATACTATACTATGACTTTTTTATGGCATACCATACTATGACTTTTTTATGGCATACCATACTATGACTTTTTTTATCACATACTATACTATGACTTTTTTATGGCATACGGTACTATGATTTTTTATGACATACTATGCTATGACTTTTTTATGGCATACCATACTATGACTTTTTTATCACATACTATACTATGCTTTTTGTGACATACTATACTATGACTTTTTTTATCACATACTATACATGACTTTTTCATCACATACTATACTGTGACTTTTTTTATCACATACAATACTATGACTTTTTTTATCACATACTATACTATGACTTTTTTTTATCAGATACTATACATGGCTTTTTAATCACATACTATACTATGACTTTTTATATCACATACTATGCTATGACTTTTTTATGGCATACTTTTCTCTGACTTTTTTAATCACATACTATACTATGACTTTTTATGACCTACTATACTATGACTTTTTTGTGGCATACTATTCTCTGACTTTTTTAATCACATACTATACTATGACTTTTTTTATTATCACATACTATGACATGACTTTTTTTAATCACATATTATACCATGACTTTTTTTTATCACATACTATGCTATGACTTTTTTTTTTATCACATACTATGCTATGACTTTTTTTTATCACATAGTATACATGACTTTTTTATGACATAGTATGCTATGACTTTTTTATGGCATACTTTCCTCTGATGTTTTTTAATCACATACTATACTATGACTTTTTTATGACCTACTATGCTGTGACTTTTTTATGGCATCCTTTTCTCTGACTTCACATACTATACTATGACTTTTTTTTTTATCACATACCATACTATTACTTTTTTAAATCACATACTATACTATGACTTTTTTTTATGGCATACTGTACTATGTTTTTTTATCACATACTATACTATGACTTTTTTTTATCACATACTATACTATGACTTTTTTAAATGACATACTATAATATGACTTTTCTTCACATACTATACTGACTTTTTTATCACATACTTTACTAAGACTTTTTTTTCACATACTGTACTATGACTTTTTTAATTACATTTTCAATGATATTTACACTTTGCAAAAGCTTTGATTTAGCCTACTTAATATTCATATTAATTTTAGCTTCCACTTTGTAAATCTTTTGAAAGTAATTCAGTTGATAGGCAGTGTTGACATTGTTTGTACCTACCAACAGCAGTTGAGCAGCTGCTTTTGTTGGGGCTATGGCACCTCCACTTTCACAAGTGACCTGCAAAACTGCAGTACCCTGTAATACTAAGCACTGGTAATGATAACAGCAATTTGTTACATTTTTTATGATTATGATCACAGTTGCTGATGACTATTTTGGACGACAGTGCGTGGTTACCTTTTGAGGCATTGCAAACTTTTTTCTTTATTTTGTGCATATTTGAATATTGGGGAGATGAGTGTCCCCTAGAGTATGTGATCATCTTTGCCGAGCTGAGGACCGATCGCTTTTTAAGCAGCATGTGTTTATATTCAATTGTCAAAAAAGATTAAAGAATAAATGTAATTAGAAATGCTATATGGGGTAGAGTTTTGGATACTGTAAAGACATCACACAGGTTCTTCTGTTTCAACCAACTTTATTCACAGACTTAATTACAAATTTACAGCACATTAATTTGCCCCCTCGCTGCTTTATATATTGCTCATCAAGGTCAAACTTAGAAAAAAAAAGTATTTACATATTATACATAAAGCAGCATTTAAACACCATGGAGACCCAGGGTGAAATGTAATCTGCGTCATACAGTTCATTTAGAGAAATTTCAACTGAAAACTATGCAGGAATATATAAAGTTTCAAAGAAATTTCTCAAAAATCCTAATAACTTATTTAATTTATAACAAATAAGGATATCATGTGTGGTTAAATCAAGCCGTCTAAAGTGAGGACAGATGTCTCCTTCACACCTTTACAACACAAAAACTGGGTTTGGGAAGTTGTTTTAAGAGTCACAGCACTGTAAAGGCAGCTTGTTTATCACAACATAGCAACGTGATATTTTCTTTCTTAGAAAAAGAAAAAAATAAAACCACCATTTTGATGTTCTCAAATGTTTTCCATAGGACTTGAAAATCACTCATCCATCAAAAACCACTCACTGTCAGTGTGCTTTCACAAGAATGTAAATCCCTTAGATAATTTAAATAAATATTTAATTAAAGCATTTTTTCTTCCCTTTGGGAAGTGAGAGCATGCTAGATGATATTACTTCATACTAGACTTGACTCCGCAGTGAAAGCACATTCAGAAATCTAACAATCCTGACAAAGATTGGCTGAAATGTTAAAGGACAAAAAGATGAGATGGAAATCCTTCTTCATAGCAAAAAGAAATATAATCTGAGTTCAACAGACAATCTCATTGCAACTGATTACTCAAGATGTGTGTGTAAGGCAGTGATTCAGTCATACAGTACATCATACCACAAGGTGCCTTTTCCCCTTTCAGAAGAAGTACACTTAAAGTTTTTACCTTTCTGAAATGACTTATAGGAAACAACACCAACTGAAAAGTAGAAATTGTAGCATAGCTTCATACACTTTCAATTAGTGGAATAGTGCTGGTATGCCCTTTATTAATAAGGGCTGATACTGTATAGTTCCTTCAGAGCACTGTCTGAAAGTCAAACACAAGTGACCTAAGAAACAGTAAGAGGTGATGAGAATTGTTGTCCCACAATGCAATCACACTGCAGCTACAGGAACATCTCAGTAAACAAAGTCGTAACTCTTTGGAAAAACAAGTTTGAGCTCTCTTTGGTGAGTAAAATTCCACCAACTTAAAATGCCCAACTTAAAACGCCCATGAATCAAAAAACCTAAGTAGCTGTAGTTGGTTAAATGCTGACGAAAAAGTGTTTTATCCTCCTTGAAATGATAAGGTGATCAGATTTTACTGTACTTTCAGCTAAATATTGACAGAAAACCTCTAAAAGGAAAAAATATATTTGTGAGTGAAAGTGAAGTGAAAGGACGAAGAACAGACACTAACCCAGGATTTTGTTTCTACACTGTCTCACAAAACAATACATGGTGGAAATCTGTAAATTGTGTCTGCTTTTTAGTTTCAGCAGATAGAGTTTAATTGGGACACAGTTGGAGATGAAGGACATCAGAAAAAAATACTTGAATCCCACACGATGCCATTGGCCGACCACTAGAGGGCGACGTAAACCTGCGTGATCCATCAGAGGGAGCTGGTTAATGCTGATAGTGTTTGGGCAGCAGCGGTCTGTGGTCTCCCTCTGTTAGTCCAGATAGTTGGTGGTTGTGTCCCTCGACAGCCTGTGCAAACATGTTAAAGCAGCTGTGGTGGTTGGCTCGTCCTCTGCCGCTACACACTGCTTCCAAGCGCTGACGTTTCTGATTCAGAGTCTGTTTCAGAGTCTCTGTTAAAGGATGAAGAACAGCCAGGAGTCATACACAAAGGACTCGGCTTGAGTCCTGCTGTACAACAGCATGTTTCTAGCCTTGTTTGGTTATCGCGAATCAAGCATTAACCTCTGTATAGTAGTGTTAGGTGCTGAATGAATGAATGAATGAATGAATGAATGAATGAATGAATGAATTTTTATTTTCGTGTCTGGCTGCCCCAAGGCAGCCCATCCCTCATGGGATTATTCAGACACATTTTAAACAAAACACTTTCCAGTGCCATCACGCCAACATAACATAGTGAACATGACATACACAAGCCGCGAATGAAGATCAACAAAAGTAAATAAAACAAAATAAAATAAAATAAAATAAAATAAAAAGGACAATCTTTAGAGCCACGATCTATCTATGCTTGTGTGTGCTTTTCACTTACAGGATTTTCTGCAGTAGTTTTTGGTTGCTCTCCCTCCTTTCTTCATCAATGGGATAGGTCTTCAATATCAAAAGTCCTACAGCTATCAGACCCACAGGCACAGGTGAAACCAGAACCTTCAGGGTTAAACTGACCGCCTCGGGTTGTGAGCAGGCCCCAGTCACATAACCAGCAAATCTGCGAAAAAATGCAGATAGAGGGAGAAATGTTGAGCTGATGTGAGTACAGTCTGGCAAGACTGTCAAGTGAAGGATCATATGATTGTTGAACACATGACTGCTGGACTGATGAGCTGTAAGACGGAGCTAATCTCATATAATGTTAGAGATGTAAACTGAGTGGAGACTTAACTTTAGTAGACAGTGAGGGAAAAAATGCAAATGAAAATAATTGTAGGACAAAATGGCTACACATATGGACCAGCTAACTCACTTCAAACTGAGCGTTGAGATACCCAGGGATACTCCAGAGGCAAACTTGATGAAAAACACATAGAAGGAGTAGAAGATGGCTTCATGACCGTGGATGTCTGGGTTTTTCACCTTGAAGTCATCCACTACATCAGGAAGCATCGACCTACAAGCACAAATATGACAATTAGAGGAAAAATTGACACAGTCAACAAAGATCCACATCTGCGTACAAATCCAGGGATGGCTTCTGTGGCAGGATATACAGTATTTTTTCTTTTTTTAACCAGGAAAATCAATCTAAGTCTTGCATATCTCTCTGCTCATCGGGTGGCATGAAAATAATTCCATTCATTGGTACGAAAAGGTGTGCTTAGAAGTGAAATCATGGGAGCCAACAATAGGTTATGGTTATTTTTCCCTTTGTTTTCAACTAGTCCATACCCATTGGTAGCTTTGTCACCTTCTACCTATGCCAATCCTCAATGCCTATGTGCAGTTTCACAAAGACTGACCACGTCAGTGAGTAGAAAAACGTGGGACAGACAGAATGACTCACAGACAGAATGACACACTGACAGTTTCCGTGATTATGTACAGCATACCATACCATGACTTAGTCATACCAAAAATTAAAAAAAAAACAAAATATTCGTCCACAGGGGGAGCCACAGTGACCAGTCGCATTTTAGCCATTTTAAGCATTTTTCTGTTGTTATAGCGCCACCCAGTTGCCAATTAGAGTCACCTTGAGGCGTCCCGTTCTACACCAAGTTTAGTAAAAATCAATATGGCGGTTAGGCCTAGATAAGAAATTAGCTCTCTAGCACCCCCATTCAATAATAGAGGGGTCCCCTCAGATTATGTGTGGTCATATGCCTACAAAGTTGCGTGGTGATCGGTGAAACCCTTGAGATGTTATACACCTTTATGTGATGAGCCACGCCCTCTGCAATATTCATTGCCTTATAGAAGCTCAGTTTTAGTAAGTTTTCCAACTTCTGACAAGAGGGAACTTTAGATATTCGTCCCTAGATTATGTTCACAGAGTTTCATGCAGATCGGTCAAACTTCCTAGGAAGAGATCGATTTTAAGTGTTTTTCAAAAAATTCAAAATGGCGGAAAATGTATATAACTGGAAGTTATGGGTTCTTGAGGCAAATTTGTTCCTCAAGAGAAGAGGCGTCTCTGTGCAAAGTTTCATGTCTCTACGACATACGGGGCATGAGATGTGCCCATTCAAAGTTTGCAATTTCAATCGGTTGCTATAGCGCCCCCCTTTGGCCAATTGATGTAATATTGCTTCATTCCCATCCTCCCATGACCCTCTACCACTGTGCCAAATTTCACATGGATTGACCAAGTCAGTGAGGAGAAAAACGTGGAACAGACACACAGACAAACCCACAGACAGAGTTTTCGTCATTATATAGTAAGATGTTTAATTTGATTTTTTTTTATTATTATTTTTTATTATTTTAGAAGAGAAATGTCCTATATTATTTGATTGAAAGGCGGTTAGAACTAATTTATCAAAGTAATTAGTAAGGCCAGGTTGACTTACATTTATTTTCTGGGTTTTTGCAAATAGATTTCTTTTATTTGATCTAACAATATGTCAGTCTAAAGCTCAAGTAATTTCTTTGTGTTTATATGTTCCCCAAATGAACATAGGCTAACATTATATTTATCTATTTACTTCTGAAATAGCATTATTATCAAAGACTGTTTAATAAGATGGAGGACATGACAGCTCCCCAAAAGTGAAGCCAAAACATCTCGATCGCCCCCTGGTGGCTGGTTGCAGTGAAGGTCATAAACCCCGCCCCCTCCCTGTTAGAGGATCGCACATGGGCCCAAAAGGGGAAAATCAAATTACGTGTCAAATAAATTTTTCCCAAAGATGGTTTCTGTCATTTTAAGTAGTTCTTATCACCCTGGTGTGTTCAAGTGTTTGTTCTTTCTAAAAAGGTTGGTGTTATTAACTATGTGACGCTCTAAAGAGTGGGTTTGACATCATGATTGACAGCTATGTGTGCCTATCAGTGTGCTCGCTTTCAATGGTGCTGCTCATGATTGACTGGATGAGAACTTGATACTGCAAGGATCACTGCTGCGCAGACTCTGGCTCCAAGTGACGTCACCAGGGCAAGATGGCAGCAGCTGTATCCGTGAAATTTTGTCTTTATTTTTGTATAGTGGGAGGAAGTGGAGATACATTGCCCATCTGTTTATAAGTCTATAGTTATTATGCACATGAGAATATAATGTATAAGAAAAAGCAGCCTTTTTTTCAATAGACAAATGTTTTAAACATGTCTTGATGATGTCATTCTTTATATAGCCTGCCTATCAGTTGTTTTCAAGACCAATGCACACAGATAACAGTTGACTGGAATTTCTTTCAATGAAATCATCCAGGAAACATGGACTCACACCACTTTTTCTAACGGAAACCCTGATCTGTGGATAAACTCATGCTTACCAAGGCAGAAGGAAAGCTGCCGCCACGCTCACACCTGCTGCCACTGCGATCAAGTAAGAAAGAATCAGGTTTTTTCCAACAGTGACGCTTAGGATCATGAAGGGTACTGCCCACTGTGGAAAGAGACACACGGATGTGAGCAATTCCATAACACACACTTTTTGACTTAATGCCTTTGTTGAACCAAAAAAGCATTTCTTTTTACTCACAGCTATGCCAAAGTAAGAGGCCGTCTTCTTCCCAAACCGGGTCAGAAACCACTGCCACCACGGGATGGTTAGAGTCCCCGATAGCTGGAAAAAAACGTGAGACAGAATTCTCAGTATTGCTGTTTCATTAAATCTAATTATGCATGCTCGCAGAAGGACAAGGGATGTGATTTATCTGGAATCATTGAGACACATGAAGCAGTTTAGCCTAGCGAGATTACTCATTCATACATTCATTTTCCATAACTGCTTATCCTGTCAGGGGTTGCGGGGTAGCCAGAGCAACCAGCGGACACTGGTCGAAAGGCGGGGTACACGCTTGACAGGTAGCCAGACTGTCACAGGGCTGACACAGAGACAGACAACCATTCACACCTATGGCCAATTTAGAGTCACACATTAATCTGCATGTCTTTGGACTGTGGGAGGAAGTCGGAGTACCTGGAGAAAACCCACATTGACACAGGGAGAACATGTAAACTCCTCACAGAAGGGCTCCCCCACCCTGGGTTTAAACCAGGAACCCTCTTGCTTTGAGGTAACAATGCTAGACCAGCCATTAGCCACTAGCCAGATTAGCTTAATCAAATAAACAGGAAAATTCTTGAGGCCATATGAATTATGTTGTGTTTATGGAACTAAATTTAACAGACAGAAATATTTATTTGCACAACTTGCAGCCTAAATGATAATTATGGTAAATAAATATTCAGTTAGCAGACATTAAAGGGATTGTGTGAAAAAGCAATTTATAAAATAACTATATCTTGAAATCAACATTCTGACTGGGCTTCATTAAAATTCAGAAAAATGTGGGAAGCGGAAAGAATAAAAGCGCCCTTGCAGGAGAGGTTAGGGAACAGGGGCGCAGTTTGCTTTTTTGTTCTTGACTTGTCCCTGCAGGGGGCGGCTGACCTTCGACCTCCTGGTCAAACTTGGTCAAGTAGTGTTAAATGGCCACACAAGAACAAGTTTGCTACTGACAACTTGGCAGCATGAGAAATAACATGAACATCAACTTTGGGCAAATATGACGGGAAATATTTCCTTCCTCCCTCTCAACTCCCACCTCTCCAAATATGACACATGGTGTCCAAAAAATGTTTCCACTCCCAATCAGAGGGAAAAGCACCAGAGCAGAAAACAGCGAGCGGAGAATGGAGAGGAGGACGCAACCAATGGTGGCAGTTCCCATGGTGGCAGTGAGAGATCGCCAGGGCAACAAAAGCTTTACTGTGTGCCTGTCTCTCCCTCGATGTCCTGCTAACGCCAAGCGAGTGTGTGACTGGGAGACAGGTTCCCAGGAGTTCAAACAACACCTCCTCTCACCCTGAAAATCTGCCCTTTCAGCCCCGGTACCATGCATCTCCTCGCGTGAGGAAAGGCCTCAAAGTACAAGCTGAAAACCCCTCAAACACTGGGAGCTTACTCTGTGCCACAAGGATAGCCAAACAAGGTTGATGTCCTCCAGATCTCACACTGATTAGGGCTCTGACGTGGAGGTAAACAGTCCTTGAGTGGAAAATAGAAACACTCACCATGATGAGCAGGAGAATATTCTGGAAGTCTTTTCTATGGCCAAGAGCGTAGGTAATGAAGAGGGCAAAGTTTCCCTCCATTAGCTGTAAAAAAAAGAAAAAAAAAAGAAGAATCAGTTTTACGCAAACTACAGTTACAGATAAAGGAACAGTTCAACATTGTGGGAAACACACTTCATATCTTGCTTGTTTGATCTATAAAAAGCCAAAGTTTAAAAACACTATGTTGTGGTCTTACCATTGGACTGCTGTTTCCACTTGTCTTTATGCTACGCTAAGCTAAGCTAAGCTAAGCTAAGCTAAGCTAAGCTAAGATAAGCTAAGCTAAGCTAAGCGTCTCAGGGCTGTAGCTTCATTTAAAGGGTAACTTTGGCATTTTTCCAACCTGGACCCTATTTTCTGAGGTTTTTGTGTCTAAGTGACAGATGTGAACAACATTTTTTTAAATGGGTCCAGTGTTGAGAGACAGGGCTGCAGCTGGCAGCCGCATTGTGCCTGCTATGTAGCCAGATGGGGCAATTGTGCACCATCACTGTATGTCCAGGCTCAGATTTTTTATCAGAAGTGTCTGAAGTGTCTCTTTACATTTTGTGTTGCTTCCCTACAACAAGTCTCATTCTGAGATCTAATAAGACGCAAGTGAAAGGGAATAGTGTGTTGTGTCAGAGTACAGAAGTGTTTCTTATTGTTATCTTAAAGATTTTCAGTGTTGTGGATGATTATTTAGCTGATTTCAGCAATGGGAATGAGGCCTTTGAGCTTCTACTAATTTGTTGAGGGGAGGAGGAGAGCGAGAAACAACCGGCAGCAGAGGGTGAGCCAGCTGCTGCAAGGCCATGAAGCTCAGGAGACTGGTGGTGTAACTGCCACATGAGATTTCAGAACGAGACTTCTTGAATGAGACTTAGATGCAATAACAAACATTCAAGATCAAGCAAAAGGTGAAAGACACACTTCAGACACTTACAATAATAATTGCGGTCTTTCTGTGGAAAAAATAATCACTTTTAATGGACATACAGTGACGGTGCACAGTTGCCCCATCTGCTTACATGTCATTGTGTCTCTGCCAGATGAGAGTCAATCATGTTCGCACACTGAGACCGAAACCTTCCTCCTTCATAAAAGTTTTTGGAACAAGTTCCATTTTCTGTGTTTTTCGAATCTGTCAGAAGTCTTCAGAGAGCTGTCTGACCAAGAATCAGTGAAGACAATGTGGCAGTGGGACACAGTTACAACAAGACAGAGGAAAGGGGCACACAGAATCATCAGTTCACTTTGAACAGGTCAGATAGTAAGATTCAGGTGGATGATGATGAAGAGGAGGAAGATGTGGACTGCACACAGAATGTGGAGGACAGAGAGGAAGGATAGCTCTGTCCCTCTCATGCAGCTACAGTGCCAAATGAAAGACAGGGAGAGAGTGATGACAGCCAGAAAGGTAACTTCAGTGGAGAGAGGCAAAAGAGGATGTGTGTCTTTTTATTTTGTCACGTATTGCAAATTTTCGCAACAAATAGAATAAATCACATTGGAATCTTTCGAAACGATTTTTTCCCTGGATGACAGATTATAAAAAACGCATCCAGAAAAAAAAAGGACTCGGTGTGCAAAGGCCTTAACTCTTGATAACAAGGCAACTAAGACTTTCATAAAAACTTTAATATTACCATGAATGCCAGAGAGGTGAAGAGGAAGGCAGTGACCAGTTTGACGTACGGTCCGTGACTCATCACCAGCCACAGGCCCTGACGGAAGGTGAGCGGAGAATTTTTCCGCCCGCACTCTGTAATCAAAGGTGGAGAAAAAGAGAACAAAGACAGCTGAAAATGTTTGCTGTAAGAAATTCAATGCACAATGCAGAGCCATTATGATGAGAAACAATGTTCTGGTAAATGTCTGATTCATTTCATGAATTCTGGCAGACATTTAGTGTCTGCCAGAAATGTGGCCGCCACTTTGACATTTTTTTGAACAGTTAATGATAAGGAAACAGTGACAAATGTCTCCCAAGGAAAACTGATACAAACTTTACATCAGAAATGGAACGTCATGCTATTGTAAGACACCAGTAAGACTCACATTTTGGCTATGAAGTCCTGAATCCTGGTCTTTAAGTTTTCATTTTAAGTCCTAAACAAGTCATTGTGCAGCCATCACTGATGCCATGCTATTTGTGTGATACAGTCACAATTATTTGCATTGATTTGCCCCAAAAGTTCTGCATCCTGCAGTCTGAGTGATGATCTAAGGTATCTGTTATCTGTCTTTTAGTGTGACTGCTCACACAACATGATTGGCTGCTGTCAGATTGATTCAGAGTTAATTCAGGAAAGTGAGATTTAAATCCAAGTGAAGTCATGAGTCATTGGTGTTCAAGTCTTTTTTAAATTTTATCAGGTTGAGTCTAAAATCCTCAGATTCATGACTCAAGTTTGACTCCAGTCCAAATCTGTGTCTGATGTCCACAGCTCTGCTTTAGACATTTAAAGTATTCAGCTTTGGCATTGGCAAATTAAGAACTTCTCCTGGTATTTAATGGATTCATACCTTTTTGCTCCTTCACACCCAAAAACAATATGGCAGCACAGGCGAAGTAGATGATGCAGATGACCCCTGAAGCAACCAAGTAAGCTTGTTTCTGAGAACAGAGAGGACAGCATTAGCTTGGTCAAATACTCATGCAAACACTCTATGTAAATGTCATCATTTATCTGAAGCAATGCAAAAGACTCCAGAGGCTCACCGTCTCTTCCAGTGAAACTCCGGTCGCGTTCATTACAGTTCCATTTCTGCTGTTAAGCTCATCAGGCTCAGTGCGACAATTCGCTGCACCACCTACTATCTGTCCCGGGATTGCGGTGCCCAGAACTGTGCCCAGCACCTCCACCATCATACCTGAGAGCAACACAAATTGAGCGTCAGTTCCTGAAAGATAACTCACATGTAAAAGCATTTGATCTCACAGGAGAGCTGACGTACGGTAAGCTGTGGCAGAGTCCCTCTCCTTCTGGTTGCTGCTGATGAACATGGTGAGAGCTGAGTATGGCACGTGGAAGCACTGCAAATGTACACAAACACAAAGTTAGGCCAGTGTACACACTGGGACCAAGGGGGGAGAAGTACAGCAGAGTGTCAGCATGACATACTCACCGTCTGCATTGACTGGAAGAGGCAGTAAAATATCAGATACCAGATGACCTTCCCTTGCTCAAAAGGAGGCACGTACCAGATTAGGAAGTAAGTCAGCACTGCAAACGGAGTAGAGAAAAGGATCCTGGGAAGAAAAGAGCGGAGGATAGGAGACAGTTTGATAAATTTATCAAGTTCATTTGTATTGTTTTTAATAAGCAAATATGTAATTTTTAGACAAAGCCAGAGTATTTTCCTCTCATTTGAAATCACTACAGTGTGGTTCCTCTTTACATTCTGTACTGTTTGGCTTGAAACAAAAAGCGTGATCAGCCTGCTGTTTAATGAATTCTGCCAACTGTTACTGCAGCTTTACCCCTGCTTTTCATTTTTTCCCCCTTGCAGCCAGTTCTTTGCTACTTTCTCCCTGCCGCTTTGTGAATAATCCCCCTAATCCTGCCTTGTTAGAGCTCGTGTGTGGAGAAAGGGCTCAGTCTGGGCTGCAGAAGGAGATGAGGGTGGGCTGAACCGACGGTGAGGCCACTCTGGCCCACCTCGCTCTCACCCCACTCGGTCTTAACAGCCTTTTCCTCAGCTGACCTCAGTCAGAGAAGCTGGTGCCACTACAAAAACTTGTTTTCAAAACAGACTACAGTCCAGCTAAAACTCCCCACGAGCATGAGGATATCATAGTTTTTCTTTACAGTCTTACTCAGTCTATTGCTGCAGGGCAGTAAAAAGAAGCAGTACAATAATTTTTATTTTGTGCCTCAACACACCCTATCAGGTGAAGCAAAGCTGAAATAAAGTTAATGATTTTATTAGCCCAGGCTTTCCTACATATTCCTTTATTTGTGGCAGCCCGCCACGATTAAAAATCTGCCACAGTTTTGGCGCTAAACTGTTCTGTAGGAGTGCTACTGGAATATACATGTTAGGTTATTTATAGGACCATGCTGTCGGAGTGCAGAGCGCGGCAGAGGTGGAGCACGACAAAATCAGTAGTATTGAAAGTGAAACTCCTTAACCATCCCTTTTGCTGGGCCTAAAAGTTTGCATTCACGTGCAGCAGCTGCTCCTCTCTAATCTGATCAGCTCTGTATGGCTCAACAGGCCAATTATCCACTCTGTAGGTCACTGCTGCTGAGGAAAAAAGAGCCCCATCTGTGCTGTGTTCACAGATCTGCAAAAACCTCTGAATTTAGAGAGCGCAACAGTGCTGCTGTAATGTCTGTAAAATGATCATTTCAAGCAAGGGTGGAGATACCAGCAATATGATGAAATGTCTTCACAACGTGGGATTAAACTCCAAGAATGCCATGTGTTAGACACTTGAGTGCCACTGCTTCCCAACCAAGCAGCACGTCTGTTACCGATGGTAAATATCCGATTTTAAATAAATAACATTAGCATTACGTAGGCAGGCTCAGCAATCTTTTCGTAAAGAAGAAAACCTAAAAAAAAAAAAAAAAACGAATGCTGCACAAAGAGATAAAAAGTCCAATGTGTAGGATTTATGGGGATACATCTGCAGAAATGCACTTTAATATAATAAGTATGTTTTCTTAGTGTAAATTCACCTGAAAATAAGAATCACTGTGATTTTGTTAGCTTAGAATTGCCCGTTTATATCTACATAGGGAGCCAGTCCTCATATCCCAAAACAGACAAACCAAACACACTGGCCCTTGAAATGCTGAGTCTCCCTGAGAGCCATGTCACTGAACACAGGGGGTTGTGTCTTGATTGAACATGACACTGCTGCACTCGCACGTGGTCGTATACCCCGCCCCCCTTCTTGTGTGACACATTTGGGAAACAAGAAAGAAAGCCCCTCCTGATTCCCTCTAATGTCTGAGTGAATTAGGTTAATGAGAGCTAATTTATCTGGAAATGGAGGCCAGGTTGAAACAGTGAGATATTAAACACACACCACAGATCAGACCAGTAAAGCACTGGAACATCCACTAAACCAGTTTAAAAGCAAAACCTGTTAATGTTTAATATGCAGACAATGCTAAATGTCCAATTCCGGTGTCACGTAACAATATCTTTGTGCAAAACATTTTCAGCACAGAGGAGCGAGTGAGGACATAAAAAGGCATCTGCGTGTTCTTATCTGACAGCTGGTTGTTTCCCTTTAATTTGAGAAGTAACCCCAACTGCACAGTATCATGTACATGTTTCCCTTTTTAACAACGGCCTCCATTATTTCCATGAAGCATGCCTCTTGACCCAAGGTAACCTCTCTCTGCTTCTGCAAAAAAATCCCCTCCCATACAGCAAAGGAAATCTCTCTCTCACACACACACACACACACACACACACACACACACACACACACACAAAAAGATGGACACACCCTTATTGGTTTGAAGCTGATGGTGTGTTGTGGGTTGGACCAATCACAGCAGAAGCCGGTAGAGTCCCTTCCCCCACCTCAACTGACAGCGTGCAGCACAGCCGGCATCTCTGACTCAAATACCCACGATGCTCAAGATATCACCGTGACATCATGTGAGAGAAATGCCAGTAAAATATTTCAATCGGTTCCTGTGCAAATCATGGCCTGAGGCGACTTCTTCTGAACCAGGCGGACTTGTAACACTGCCACATCCTGCCACCGTATTTCATGCTCTCCTTCTCCTCCGACACACACACACATTTATAAAAGAAACTGCGTTCTATTTGACCACACAAGGAGAACCTCAAGGTCATCTTTTATCCATTTCTTTACAGACGGACTCCCTCAAGCAGACCATTTGAATTCTACAATTTTAAAACCTTTCCCTTGCTTTGTGTCGAGCTTGTCAGTGCTTAAGGTAAAAATATATGAGAACATATCTGGTCTGTTCAGGGTTGCAGGCAGATCAAGCCAATCCCAGCATGCACTGGAAAGGGGTAGAGATTCCCCTGACAGGATGCCAGCTGGTCGCCACTTGCTAGTGAGTCACAGAGTTAACACGTACAACAGTTAAACACATTCACACACAGAGGATATGCTGCACACTGTGAGACTGCTCATATATACTGTACATCTTAAATATCTTTAGCTGTTAGATGTTTGTAGACAAATCAAATCAATGAGCAGAAATGCTTCAAGGGAACAACTGAATTTTGGCTTTAATGTGACTTAATAAATATTAGACTTCTCACTGATCCACTGATGGAGGTAACACACCGAGAAACCCAGCGCTGTGCTAACAAAGACCATGAAGGAAAACTCCTCCGGCAAGTAAACATGGTTGTAAATATTTGGCTAAAAGCTTAAAAGTTCTTCCAGCTGTTTAACTAAAGGCCCAGACACAACAAAATGGCATCAAAGAACTAGCAGCCGACTGTTGTGTCGCCACATGTTGTCTATGTCCCAGCCAACAAGTTACATTGGAACGCGCCAGGCAGCTGTGGTCTGTATTCGTCATTCAAAAAGGGCAACGCAAGATAGACAGGACGGCTTCAAGATGCTAGTTAGCCAGTTAGCATGTTAATAACGCAACCAGACATGAAAACAAATTATATTTAATGTGCGCCAGCAAACAATAGCACAAAGAATTACAGTGTGTTTATGCTAAATAGCCCAATAGCTAAAAAAAAATAATCCTTCTTTGGATCTCACGCCCTCTTAACAAATGTTTGTTTGCGTTCCTCACTTTCATTTCTCTTCTTGTGCGCTAAGATGAAATGCCAGTTAGAGTGATTTCAAGTCCCGATAGGCTCTGCCAGCTCCAACGCTGAATCAATAATCTGAACCGGCCAAAAACAAACCCACAAGGGCCAACTAGTGTGGGACACACTGCAAAATCTAGTGCGACAGATGCTCACCGATGGCTCAACATTGATGGAAGGCCAACTGTCAGCTTGGTGTGTCAGGACACTTAACTGTACTAATGCCAAATCAATTCAAAAAAAGGAACCACATTTCTCTTTACTAAAGCTAAAACAGCTGCACACATCTGCGTCTAGAAAAAAGTGAAGACGCTGCTTCAGCTGCTGTTTGCTCATTTTAAAAGGTTACTTTTGTGGGTTTCATGTGCGTCATACTGATTTCTGATGCACACATTACATGCACTGTGTTTCATACAGACTATATTCTCACACTGTTCGTGAGCTGGTTTTTGTCAGTACTTTTGCCTCACCATTCTCACCCCACTCAATATTACCTTACATTATCCTTTAATATGTGTGAATCTAAAATGCACGTGCTGCTGTGACATTCAGACACCTACCACGGCATCATGCGGCCGATGCTGGTCCATCTACTCCGGCTCACAAGGAAACCCACCGTGGGGTCTGTGACCGCGTCCCAGGCACGGCCCACAAACAGAATGATAGAGGCATGGAAGGGATCCAGCTAAGGGGGGGAAATAGGGAAAAAGAGTGAAACCAAAACAAAAAGAATGATAAATACTACGTAATGTGGAACAGCTTGTGAATGAGTCAAAGGTGCCACGACACCAATGGGGTTACAGAGACATTTCAAGGCTTTAGAACTGCAGCGGTGAAATAAACAACTGTGTCGTTTGTTTAAGAACAAAGTGGCATTCAAAGCCCCTGTAATGCTCTCATCCCTGGAGCTGAATGGCCTCTATTTAAGGTCCTACTGTGTACAGTGGAAACGTCTAATTTCCTAATTGAGTAACAAAGCAAAGCAGTAGGAGTCCAGGTTAATGCGCTTGACCGGCCACTGCGGGGTGAAGACTGATACAGGGCTGAGAAGAGCGAACACACACTCTGGCCTTGGGGTTAATCAGTATGCACAACTACGGGGAAAAATGCAAAGATAAGGAAATGAGTCTCTAATTTGGGTGCTGCAGAATCCACAAATGATTTGTTTTAAAGAGTGGGGAGTATAAAGGGCATGCAGTTTGCAACTTTAAGTATTCCTACAACTTTTTACAGTTATACAAAACGCTTTTTTATACATGCATGTGTGCTTTTGCTCTATTTGTGCGTCTGTTGTCAATCACCTGAGCCACATCCAGCAGGTAGATCTGGAGGAAGAAGCCCAGAGCGCTGCCTGTGATCTGGTATGGAGCCCCACCGATGGCATAGCTCAGTTTGTTCCACACAGACAGACCTTTCCTCTGCTCCTTTGGCTGGAAGACAAAGAGAGGGGAGGACAGTAATGGAGTTAGTTTGGCTTTATAACAGTTAGTGCACATTCCCAGAGGAGCTATCAGGTCAGGTAAAGTGATGCGGACAGTGCGGACTCTCTTCTGTGCTCTGGAGTTCATTTAATCTCCATTTTCTGCTTCATCCATCCCTCTGTCCAGAACTCTTTGAATAACTGACGCCGTGTTAAACAACCTGTTACCACGAGGGACCGAGATTGGCTAACTTCCACCACCCCACCGCTCAGAACGGCAGATTAGAGACAAATCCCCTGATGTGGTCCTGGCCATGTACACCACAGTCAGACAGTGGTGTGAAACTGCGAGGTTACTACAGTTCACACACACTACACCACAAAGACTCTGCTATTGGCTCTGGCAATAGGATGTTTGAGGTAGTGTGACATTTCATGCTGAGTTGCCAGCAGACAGCTTAGAGTCTTATCACATCCAACAGCCACAGCCAATCACCTGTACAGGGCTCCATGATGTCAGCAAGGGAGTCTCTACACTCCGATCCATGTCCGCTTCAGACACAGAGGCAGCATCACCTCATGTTGAGAGCAAATCGCTGCCTCCTGTTCTCTCCACCCGGATCTTTCACCGTGACAAGTCCACGCTGGCATGACTACAATGTGGGAATGAAACTAAAGATACATGAAGGGGTAGAGCCTGTAGGCGACTGGGAAAATCATGGGCAGTGTAACATAAAGCAGTGGGCAGACAAAACGACACAAAGATTCTGGATTCAAGTAAAGAGGTATAGAGAGACAACAATACATGAAATGTTTTCTATTTGAATAAGAGCTGTAGATTGGACTATTGTTTATATCCTTAAAACTTTTGTCCACTAAATGTCTTAATGCAGTAAAAATGCTAATCAAATTTCTGTCAGCTGTATTTAAGGTATATTTGTACAATCATTTTGATACAGACAAGTTTAGATTGCACACGCTCTAAGCATTTTGTACAGGTGAAATGCCCTGTGATCTAATATTACTATTTAAAAGGGGCACAACAGAGCAGACATGACGTAGATATAAAAAATAAAATGCAGTGCTTCCACAGTTTTTCATATAAAATACAAAAACACACAATCATCTGCAGACTGTTAGACGCATACAGCTGCTAATAAGAGTCCCTTGAGGCTTTTAGACTGGTTTCAAGTCTCTGTAGAAGCACTTAAAGAGATGATCATTAACAATACAAATCCCAGTGTTGAATGCACGCTTAATTTGAGAGTTTCAAACCAACCGGATCATGCATCATGAAGCTCTGGAGCTGTGGCATCTCGTCCACGTCACGCTTCGGCAGCACATCTGTCATCACTACCAGGCTGCTGTTATAGCAATACTGTACGGTTTGGATGAGACGTTCAAATACGATGTGGTCCCTTTAAAGTCGGCATGCGAGCCTCACGGGCAGCTGCCCGAGGACAGGTGGACGGACCGGGTGAAATTCAAATACCGAGGACGAGTCAGGGGGGCGTTTGAAATACACGCCGAGAGGAAGTAACCCCATTTATCAGATGTTGCTTCAATTTAGGCGCCCGTTTAACGCTCCCGAATAAAGCGGGAACACCACCTTAAAATTAAACCATAAATGAAAAAAAAGAGTCCTTCCTCTTACCTTTGCCGTCTTGACTTCTGTATTTATAGGCTTGACTGATAGTAAACCCGCCGTGTACTGCTCTGCGCCCTCTCCTCGTGCCATTGTGCTCTCAAGTCGATGAAGTAATTAGTATTTTTTTTTTTAGGATAAAGTAATATTTTAAAGTATCAGAAGAAACAAAGCGCCTCACAGCTTCATAGTGTCTCGTGTCGCTCAGTGCTCTGACTGTCTCTGAGTCAAGTCTCTCGCGCTCGGTCCACTCATTCATACTCTACTATGCCGCCTACGTCATTGACTGCCGTGACGTGCCCATCGTATGTTGCGGATGCTGGTATAATAGCTGAAGGGCATCGAGCCCCGGTTGGATGGTCAGACCAAGGAGACCCCGGGATAACGTGTATGTGGGCTATTGTCCTTCAGTCAGCAACACATTGGTGAATGAGAGAGTAAATATCGGACAGGAAAATGCGCCATTACATTCAGAATCAGAATAAGGTTTATTGCTAAGTATTTTTTTTTTTTTTAAATTCTGATTCATTAAATGTTACACAATTTTTGATTTAAAAAAATCATGACCCAAGGCTACACATTTTCCATCTAGCCTGTAACTGGGCGAATTTAACAAAATGTAATTGTAGGCTATGTACAACTGTATATTTTGTTTTATTGGAAACTGGAAAAAAATGACCTTACAATTAGCCATTAAACACAGCAGCAAATCAAAGTCAAAGTTACCTGTTTTTTTTAATATATATATTTAAATATTTATTTTTTTATTTGTTAATTTCTTTTTACATTTTTTTAAAAATGTATTTTATTATTAATCTGTGTTGCACAGAGAGTTTATAGTTATTGCTCATTTTCAGCTCTTGTCCCTAGTTGGGCTTTTACATGTAGACCTAAAATGTTATTTCAATAAATAAATAAAAAGATATACAGTTTAAAACATCACGCAACCCCAATACACTATGAACATGGAATGGACAATACACATACCACAGTGCATATACCACAACACATCTACTACAATAGACATAGGCTACCACTATACACATACCACGATACGTAAACTTAATACCACAGAACACCAAAACACTAATAGATACAATATATATGTATAGATTTTACAAAGTCAGTTTGCTTTTTGCCCTCTCTTGGGATAAGACATGGCAGTGTACAATATTGCATAAGCAATCAATCACGAGGCTCTAGTTGCGTTAAGAGACCAATATTTTTGCATATTTTTCAAGCTGTCCCTGCCCCCTTTTCACCCTTACCCCCCTCCACTTCATGCCCCTGAGATAGATAGATAGATAGATAGATAGATAGGTAGACCCACAGACCACCGACAGACTGACGGACGGACGGATGGACGGACGGAAGGACGATAGATAGATAGATAGATAGATAGATAGATAGATAGATAGATAGATAGATATTAACTTGTGCTCAGGTATTTTAAATCAGATTGACAGTGATGACATTTCAATGACTCAGAGTTGATCCACTGCCTACACATTTTTGTTCATGCAACTGAGCAAAAATATATAAATAATGTACTTACACACACCACACACACACACAGGAGTATATATCATGACTCATATGACTCTAATATTGGACAGTTCATAGTTGCAAAGATAGAGAGGGGGTGACATATAAAAAAGGTCTCCATCCACTTTTGCTTACAGTAAGTTCTATGCATATGTCAACTTTTTACACTTTTACACTCAGTGCCAATACACAGTGAGAATGATTTATCATCAATATAGCTTCTGACCTGCAAAGAGGGTGTCTGCTGTCTTTACCCTCTCTGAACCAGTGTCACCAACAGAGCCAAAGTGGGTGCCAGACCAGTCAATCAAATGTATCATGCACAGTATCACAATGCACAATAACTTAATATGTTTTATCATCATTCATTATGCATAACCCAAGAGAATAACATTTTTTAACTGGTTAGAAAACCCTGGAAATGAAAGAAGTCATCAGTAAAAGTATAAAAACTGGACCATGTGGTGATGAAGTCCTATCTTGCTGATCTGATTTTTGATATACTGGACAGTATAAAGAGTCTAGGTAAGTGGAGAGAGTGATAGCTTGCATCTATTATTAGCAGTGGGTCAAATTGGGGGACTTCTTTGAAACCAGATAGCACCAGGGAGCTTCACTTTTGACTCTACGATACTAAAAAGGTTTGCAGGTTGCAGTGCAGCACCTTGGTGACAGTTTCAAGAAAAACAATGTGTTTCCTTTTCAATACTAGACTGAAAGTAATGGATTTTATGTAGGTTATGTTTAGTCTTTATTTTACATAGTGCTTTGAACACCGCTGCCACAGTATCACCTTTATTTACCTTGATGTTTGTAGACCGAGCCATATTCCCCTGGCTATTTACTGTAGCATTTTATTTGTCCATTGCATAATTTCCAAATGGGTTGCATTGTTTTCCCAGTTTTCCCAATCTAAATATACACAAACACGCAATCGTTTGTTCTATTTGCACACCCGCTTCAAACAGAACAGAGTAGGCAAAGCAGCTAAAACAAGATGTGCCTTCCCTCTCATATTATATCTGTCTCATTCTGAAAGTTAAAACACGATGCCACCTCTTGGCTGAGGCACTGTGCTGCTTCTGCTCCAAACAAGACAAGTTAACACTAACACAGAGTTTTTGCCAACACAAACTGTTGTTCACATTCAGCCTGGAAAACGTGACTGAAGGAGGAAAGCTTTTGAGGCGTGTGTGTTAGTGTGTCAAGATGAAACAGAAAGGGAACATGTGTCTCATATACAGTACAGGCCAAAAGTTTGGACACACCTTCTCATTCAATGCGTTTTCTTTATTTTCATGACTATTTACATTGTAGATTCTCACTGAAGGCATCAAAACTATGAATGAACACATGTGGAGTTATGTACTTAACAAAAAAAGGTGAAATAACTGAAAACATGTTTTACATTCTAGTTTCTTCAAAATAGCCACCCTTTGCTCTGATTACTGCTTTGCACACTCTTGGCATTCTCTCCATGAGCTTCAAGAGGTAGTCACCTGAAATGGTTTCCACTTCACAGGTGTGCCTTATCAGGGTTAATTAGTGGAATTTCTTGCTTTATCAATGGGGTTGGGACCATCAGTTGTGTTGTGCAGAAGTCAGGTTAATACACAGCCGACAGCCCTATTGGACAACTGTTAAAATTCATATTATGGCAAGAACCAATCAGCTAACTAAAGAAAAACGAGTGGCCATCATTACTTTAAGAAATGAAGGTCAGTCAGTGCGGAAAATTGCAAAAACTTTAAATGTGTCCCCAAGTGGAGTCGCAAAAACCATCAAGCGCTACAACGAAACTGGCACACATAAGGACCGACCCAGGAAAGGAAGACCAAGAGTCACCTCTGCTTCTGAGGATAAGTTCATCCGAGTCACCAGCCTCAGAAATGGCAAGTTAACAGCAGCTCAGATCAGAGACCAGATGAATGCCACACAGAGTTCTAGCAGCAGACCCATCTCTAGAACAACTGTTAAGAGGAGACTGCGCCAATCAGGCCTTCATGGTCAAATAGCTGCTAGGAAACCACTGCTAAGGAGAGGCAACAAGCAGAAGAGATTTGTTTGGGCCAAGAAACACAAGGAATGGACATTAGACCAGTGGAAATCTGTGCTTTGTCTGATGAGTCCAAATTTGAGATCTTTGGTTCCAACCGCCGTGTCTTTGTGAGACGCAGAAAAGGTGAACGGATGGATTCCACATGCCTGGTTCCCACTGTGAAGCATGGAGGAGGAGGTGTGATGGTGTGGGGGTGTTTTGCTGGTGACACTGTTGGGGATTTATTCAAAATTGAAGGCACACTGAACCAGCATGGCTACCACAGCATCCTGCAGCGACATGCCATCCCATCCGGTTTGCGTTTAGTTGGACGATCATTTATTTTTCAACAGGACAATGACCCCAAACACACCTCCAGGCTGTGTAAGGGCTATTTGACCAAGAAGGAGAGTGATGGAGTGCTGCGGCAGATGACCTGGCCTCCACAGTCACCGGACCTGAACCCAATCGAGATGGTTTGGGGTGAGCTGGACCGCAGAGTGAAGGCAAAGGGGCCAACAAGTGCTAAACACCTCTGGGAACTCCTTCAAGACTGTTGGAAAACCATTTCAGGTGACTACCTCTTGAAGCTCATGGATAGAATGCCAAGAGTGTGCAAAGCAGTAATCAGAGCAAAGGGTGGCTATTTTGAAGAAACTAGAATATAAAACATGTTTTCAGTTATTTCACCTTTTTTTGTTAAGTACATAACTCCACATGTGTTCATTCATAGTTTTGATGCCTTCAGTGAGAATCTACAATGTAAATAGTCATGAAAATAAAGAAAACGCATTGAATGAGAAGGTGTGTCCAAACTTTTGGCCTGTATTGTAAATCCTCTATCACAGTTTTCGTATTGCTAAAACACATTTTAGGCCCATTTTCTCAAAACCTTAATAACAAATCCTAAAATTCAAATTTTCTATCACAATCAAACTATCACCTCAAAAACAGTTATCCTGGGGCGTCGGTGGCTTAATGGATAGAGCAGGCGCCCCATGTACAAGGCTGTTGCCGCAGCGGCCCGGTTTCGACTCCAGCCTTTGGCCCTTTGCTGCATGTCGCTCCTTCTTTCTCTCCCCCTTTCACACTTGTCTGTCCTGTCAATTAAAGGCTAAAATGCCCAAAAACATATCTTTAAAAAAAAACAAACAGTTATCCTATGTTCAAAGCCAAACAATGTGTTCAGATCATACACACAGCACGTAAAAATATATTCACCACAGAGCATTCGTTAGACACTACATAAAATACTGTAATTTAGGACACAGCATCCAGGGCATGTAGTTACAGTTTTTCTTAACCTCCCTAACTCCACTCCCTCCTCTGTTATATGGTATCTCACAGGCACACTACGTCATCAAACCACGTGATGTTTGGTGTGGAGACTTAGATCTTTTATAAAAGGCAAGAGTTACACTCCTACCACTATTTTTGGCTGAGATATACTGCCTAGAAAGTGGGATCACAACTTTCACGTTTCATATGGCTTTATTTGGTGATATTTTATGGTGTTTCTGTGTCATAAACAACATCAGCTATCATAATCCCACCTGATTTCAATAAGGTACGATGTTTGAAGCTGACTGAGTGTTGTTTGATCACTGATAGTACTGTTTTGAAGCGGAGTGAGCGCTCTTGTCATTTGGAGCTCCGC